TCTTAATTTGCTCCGTTACATTTTCTTTTGCGACCAGTAGACGATGTTGAACCTAACTCTGCCATGGTGAAAGTGGCCGCCTGTTACTGGCGAGTCCTTGAAGTACTGCTGCAATGCACGCCCAATGACGGCATGCCCAATGAGGGCACGAGATGGAAGGCTGACAGACAGGGCGGCAATCCAGTGATCCAGCACTTAAGATATTCATTGCTATCGGGATGTTAAGAGCATTCCATGGAATATAACAAAAAGTGTATCTCGAGCCGGTTTCTGAAACTTACCTACCCCACCTTTAAGAGAAAGAAAAAAGGAACGAATACGAAAAAGATTATTGAGATTCCAATTCTTACAGGATGTCTCATTTTTGTAGAAATATACTTTAAGGACAATTTCAGTTATTTTCTCATCTTACATACGGTTTCAAGGTCGTACATAACGTACACATGTATTCTGTTTTATATTTTGACATGCATACAAATCAATTTAAGTCTCAGTACATCTCAACATTGCAAACCCAAAACTAAACAACATTTGTTATTGAGTATCTATAAAATCAAATCACTGACGTGGTTGTTCCAGATCATACAAATATTCTACCGTAGAGATGCCAACAATACGTCTCTTTGAAGCTGGTACTTTTCTGTCTCACCTGGCCCAGCTGTCCTGGATGTCTGTGCAGCGTTTTCTCTCCTGCTCTGTCCGCCTGCAGGCGCTCTGCCATCGCAGCTCCAGAGCGCCTCCTGCCTGACAAACTGAGGCAGCAAACTGTGGCTCGGTCTGCAGCCGCTTCCCCTGATCCAGGATCAGCCCCAACACAGCTCTGCTCTCTTCCAGCTGGACCTGGGTTTGCTATAGAGAAAGAAAGAAGAGTGCTTAGGTTGAGTTTACATCAAACGATTCTTTTGAGAAGCCAATTCTGTGCTGACATTTGAAGAAACAGACTGACTGTGATGTTAAGTAGAGAACATTGGGTGTGAATGGAGCATGAGTCGTGAAAAGAAGACAAAACTAAGAAAAATCACATCGTTATTATTTGTATTCTTTCAAGAAATAAACCCATGCTAAGAGTTTCACACAAAAACTGGTTACTGGCATTTTAGTTAACGCTGAAGCAATGCTTGTATTTGATGTGATTTTTATTCAAATGGTTAAAGCTTATGTTTCTAGTGATACTATAGTTTAGCTTCTTTTTAATATTTTGTTTAAGTTAAGAGTACCCAAGCTTTCCCAGTAAACTTTAGAAGTATCAGTTGCTCAAAATCAAAAACTCAAAGACTTGTTTAAAGGAGATCTTTTGACAAAAATGCTCAAAATAAACTCATATACAGCTGAAACTGTATCAACACAAAATACGATGTTACGTTTTAAGTCAGTTAAACTATTGTTTTATCCAATTTGGAAAAGTGTCCTCCCTTGCCCTCACTCTGCTTCCTTCTCTCACCATTCAATTAAACCATACATGCATTAGTTCTGTCATGTTCTCTACAGGCTGACTCAATAATAAAGAAAAGAGAGAGAGACAATGTGATGAGACAACAAACTAAATGCATCAGTGAGCAGAATGAAAGGGCTTACCTGGCAGGCCTCTTGTCTCTGCTGTGCTAACCTCTCGTCGTCTCCCTCTGGTTCCCCGCTGCTGATAAAAACGTCGACATCATCCAGCAGCTCGCCCAGTCCGCGACAATTATCCTCCCACCGGGTCCACTCCTGCAGCAGGTCCAACCACAAAGCCACACAATAACTTTAACATTTGATTTGTGAGCACAAACACAAGACACTTTTCCATTGGTTCCAAAAGAAAATGTAAGTTTGTTTATGTATGAACTCATATAGCCTCAGCAGATGTTCACTACAGACCTGGGTCCTCCTTTGAGAGGCCACTTCCTGTTCCAGAGCCTGATGCTGCAAAGCTGTGGCTCTGACTACCAGCTGGACCCGCTCATCCTCCTGACACCGGAGCGCTCCTGGCTCACGTTGGAAGAGATGCTGCACGAAGGCCAACTGAGACCTGAGGACTCGCAGGAGCTTCTGGATCACCGAGAGAGCAGATTAATGACAGAAGTGAAGTGAAATAATCGTACAGAACATCTGATACAAAATGAACGAAGAGGTGGGAAAGCAGAGTGGGACTGAGGTCTGAATGTGTGTTTTGAAAAGTCTATAATGAGTTGTTTTACACTGTATGTCTCTTTGAGAACCATCAAAGGGCCTCTTGGGAAAGTGCCCAAGTTTTTTAGAAGTTTCTCAAAGCGCAATGAGGTACCTTGTCTCTGCAGAGGGGCGCTTGAAGTTGGCCGCGGTTGTGAACCTGGCCCCTCTGCCCTCCTGTTATGCATTCTTCACCCAGTTCCAGGAGGCGAGTTATCCCCTGAAGCAAGGAGCGGGAAGCTTGCTGCAGCTTCACTTTTTCCCCCAGACTCTCCCTCAGATGTCGGCCCAACACACACTGCTGAGAGTTACAGGAGAAGCATAAGGTTTCAAAAAGAAATACAACTTTTGAAACACAGATGACGCATCAGTGCTACTTTGATATTAGATTGTAATATTCATTCTGGCACCCACAGCGGGGCATTAACTAGTCAACGTCTTTTCTTATGTTAAGAAGAAATCCTAAAGGGAAAGCTTTTTTTTTTTTTTTTTTTATTTTGATATACTTTATTAATCCCTGTGGGGAAATTGTTTCTCTGCATTTGACCCATCCTAGTGTTAGGAGCAGAGGGCTGCCATTATGTACGGCGCCCGGGGAGCAGTGTAGGGAACGGTGCCTTGCTCAGGGACACCTCGGTAGCACTTGGTCTTGCTGGGACTTGAACTGTTGACCTTCCAGTTGCCAAGCCAAGTCCCTATCGACTTCGCCACCACCGCCCCAAATGGCCTTTCATGGCTATCCAATTAGGATTTGTGTACATAGGAAGATACATACCTCTAAGCTGGGAGCATCCTGTATGCTGGGGAACATCTCACTTTGTCCCACTTCAAACTCGTCCAAAATACACAGCTGGTTTGAGGCGGGCTCCTATGGGAAAAAACATACGTTGTGTTGTTGTTGTTGTAAACAGCAGTAGATATTTCCCTTTTGTTAAAGTACCAATATGACAAAATGCATTATTACAAGCAAAAGTCCAATTATATTATATTTTGGTTAGAAAATAAAGTATTATTAGTCAGTTTTATATTATTATGAAGGAGGCTAATTTAAGTACTTTCTATACTATTGTGTAATTTATAGAAATGCATAATTTTTTATTGACTATTTCAAATGTAGTGATACATGGCAGTAGAAATGTGCGACTTAGTTTTTTTTTTCCAGAACCATTTGTATCTCAACAAACCATACAGTAAAATGTGTGTGATTAATGGATATTATAACAGGAGGCTGTGAAACATTATGTATTGGTGGACTATAATGATCGCAGTGTCGGATTTGTATTTCAAACCTGATGCTGGTGTGTGTGTCCCAGATGTTCAATGAGCTGGGGTGAGGAGGTGAGGAGCAGCTGGGCCGTGTGCAGACCGTCCTGAAGGGAGCTCAAACAGCGCAGAGCTTCTGGTTTCTCCTTTAATGGTTTGTTCTCTGACTCCACTTTACCCAACAGCTCAGACAGAGTCGCCAGCTCGGTTGCTACACACTGTGTAGGAAATGAGTCAAAAGGATAGAAAAAGTTAAAAGATAATTATCTGGTTTTACTTTTTTGCAAATGAACATCTGACGAAATCAAAAATGTGGTTTGAACCAAGAATGAGATGAACACAATTCACATCAGTCTGTCCAATGTTTCAACACAATAGATTTTAAATATTACAGAGCCACCATAATGTGCAGGTATGTTAACCCTATCCCTATACTGTACTGTATGTGTGTTCTTTGGTACAGTGATAGGCTCTCACCTCCTGCTGTAGCAGCCTCAGCTGAGGGTCTTCTTCAGCAGGAGTCAACAGAAGGTCGGTCAAAGCGTCCAGACAGAGGAGGACCCTTCGTGCCGCCTCGTACAACTCCTCACTAACACCTGGAGAGCTCACCTGGAAAACAACCAAACACACATATCATATCAATATCATATTATGTTACCTAAATGATTAGATGGAAAACAAATATGATTAAACAATTCAGACCTTCTAAATATGGTGGTGCTGTTTTGGTCAACGATAAGAAGTAACACCCTTATGCCTTTCAATATATCAAGACTAACCTACAAGCTTTTCTTTAATATCCATTTTATAAGTGACAAAGATCCTTGTCAGGTTATCATTGATTACTAAAAAAAACATTTGGAGTAGTTACAAACATGTATGCTAAGATGTATCATCTGTTACTGTTGTGCTATTCCTACATAGCCAGACCTATCATCTATATCCTGTAAGTCAGTGTACGTACTATTTGTCTCAGCGCGGTGATGGACTCATGGGTCCTCTGGAGAACAGCAGAGGACGATCCTGTTGATATTATCTCCCTCTCTGAGTCCTACACAAAAAAAACAGGAATTAGTAGTGATTGTAGTTCCAGTAACCCAAAATTCGATTCACAGGTAGCAGTAAGGTTGACTCGGACAAAATACGTCTCAAGATAGTTTGTTTGACTCTTTACTTAAAGGGGACCTATCATGCAAAATGCACTTTTGTACGTCTTTTCTACATGAATATGTGTCCCCGGTGTTCCAGGGAACTCACCAAGTGTCAGAAAACACAACCCTCTCTATTTTCCTCCATACCCAAATCTCTAAAAAAGGGGCTGCAACGGATCTGATACAGACTGATCCAGATTTGAACACTTCTATGACGTCACGAAG